TCAAGAAATCAAATGATGCATTGCATTAGGCAAATCTGCTGCACAAGACCTTTTTAAAGTGTTGTAGAGCAAAGATGTTCAGTTGAGGACTAAGGTGCGCTTGAACCAAACCATGGTGTTTTCAATAACCTCATATGCATGTAAAAGTTGGACAGTAAATAAGGAAGACCGTAGAAGAATTGATGCTTTTGAGTTTTGGTGTTGGAGGAGAATATTGAAAGTGCCATGGGCTGCCAAAAGAACAAACAGATCTGTGTTGGAAGAAGTGCAGCCATACTGCTCCTTGGAGTCCACGATGGCCAACTTCATCTCTCATATTGTCAGTAGGGACTAGTCTCTGGAGAAGCATACCATGTTTGGTAAGGTGGAGGGTCAGAGGATAAGAGGAAGACCCCCAGTGAGATGGATTGACCAAGTGGCACCATCAATGGGCTCAAGTGTGGCAACAATAGTGGGGTTGGCCCAGGATCAAGCAGTGTTTCATTTTGCTGTGCATAAGGTCACTATGAATCGGCACCAACTCAATGGCACGTAACAACAGCAACAATATAAATATTTGCAGGTAGGTGTCTCAGAAATGCTATTACAAAATTATACTGATATAAGATACTCATATATACATATGCATATGATATAAATATACAAATATATATGGAGTCCTGGAGTCCTGTGTGGGGCTGTGGGTTAATATGCTGGACTGCAAAGTTATTTGAACTACAAGGTCAGCTGTTTAAACTCACAGCTACTCTTTGGAAACCCTATACAGGGTCACTAAGGATCAGAATGGACTCGATGACACATTTCAACAGCTACACTATACAAATAAATATATATACATTTTTTGGCTTTGATTTTTTTTTTAAGTCTTTATTGTGAATTTAGTGAAAGTTTACAGGGTAAATCATAAATTTTACATTCAAAAGTCATATACTTTGTTTAATTACGATGGTTATAATCCACTCCATGTATCAACATCAGTTAACAGTATTTTCTATATTCATTTTAGCTTTTTTTTTTTTCTTTTTTTAAAGCACTCAGACATATATAATAATTTAAACTATGAAAGGGCACTTTTGCAAGTCTGCCACCTGGCCTCCAACTCAGTCCCTCTCATTCCATGAATCTAGAGTCCTTAGCTGCTTCCTCTCTCCATGTTCCAATCTCTGCCTCCATCTCTGATGTTGCTTCTTCTCTGGATAAGGCTCTGCATTCTGTTTGAGCTCTTCTCTCTTGATGGTCCTAGAATCCTCTGTTTCTGGACTGTAAGAATAATGACTCCCCCTTTTTTTCTCACAAAACGTCTACCTTTACAGGTGTGACAGTCACAAATAGTCATGATAACAATTACTCCCTCTTAAATAATAAGAATCTTATGCCCATCTCTTTTTACCAACTCCATCTAGAGAAGATGGAAACTATTTAGTAGAGACTCTATCTTCCCCCACACAGTGTTAAACTAAACTCCCTCTTAAAACTTTTTGCCTTTCTTGCCCCCTCATTTTTCACTCAACTCACAATAAAACTTTTAAAAACCCCACAAAAACAAAATCAAAATATGTATGTACATATTGTTGTTTTGTGCCATTGAATCGATACCAACTCATAGCGACCTTATGCACAACAGAACGAAACACTGCCCTATCCTGGGCCAACCTCACTATTGCTTCCATACTTGAGTCCATCGATGCTACCACTTGGCCAATTCATGTCGCTGGAGGTCTTCCTCTTTTTCTCTGACCCTCCACCTTACCAAACATGATGTCCTTCTCCAGAGACTGATCCCTCCTGAAAATATGTCTGAAGTATGAGAGACAATGTTTGGCAATCCTGTCCTCCAATGAGCACTATGGCTGCACTTCTTCCAACACGAACCTGTTGGTTCTTTTGGCAGCCCATGGGACTTTCAATATTCTCTTCCAACACCATAACTCAAAAGTATCAATCCTTCTATGGATGCCTGTATATATACATTTGTATATTGTTGGCTTCCTGGCGAACAACTTAGCAAGTTCTTGTAGTTGCCAATCATACTGCTATTTTTGCTTATGGTTTTTATTGCTGATCTTTCTCTGAAGATGTATCTTCTGTCCTTCTAGCTATTCCAGGCTGATCTGCTTATCCTTTCTCTTGGGAATGTCCCAATTGAGATGGTTCTGGCTGGGGCTCAAGATTCCACCTATGGTCCAATACACTTCAAAGGCCCCACAAGAGGTCTATTTCACTAGGCAACTTGTATAACCCATTTTAGGTATTCCTATACGAATCGGGCTGCGAACCTTAAGGTCAGTGGTTCGAAACTACCAGCCGCTCTGCGGGAGAAAGATGAGGCTTTCTACTCCCGTAAGGA